ATAGGAGCAATTTGAGCAGCAAGAGCCGGACTTCCCACACAATGCTTACACTGAAGGGACAGCGTGAGGCTCACACACCACACGTGGCTGAGGAAGGAGGAGCCCTGGCCTCCTGTGAGTGTGCAGGGAGTGAGTGTGCCCACTACAGTGCGCAGGGAAAAGCCAGCGTGCTGCTTTTTTGTGCAATTCCCAAAGTTCATCATCTGAGATTGCTTGCAACTATTGCAATTATTATTAATAATTGTAAAAGACAAAAAATTACAGCTGGTGCATCAGACATTTAATGAGGTGAACTACAAACATTAAATGAAGCAGTGAAATTTTTTCCTCGTGCACAATTTCCCCCATTTGTTGCTAAATTAAGTGAGCAACCCTACTGGCAATGAATTAAGAGGCCAATTAGGAAGGTACCTCAGACATGAGCTGTGTTATGCTCAATGCAAATGCTTTTTCTTCCATTTTAACTTCCCACCTTTCTGCATCCTGCATTCTGAGCTCACGTGCACCCTCTCAGAATTCTTCAGAATTCAAACAGGAGAAAAATACAAGGAAAATTCTTTCCAGTGCAAAGCCCTCTTTCATGTAAATAAAACCCTGAACATCTTCCATCTTCGCACAAGGCTTGCTCAATTCACTTGTGTTAGAGATCATTATTGCTCCCATTAAACGATTGGAGGACGTATGGTTCTTTTCGTGGCTCCTGACAAAGCATCTTGGTGTGTTCATTCACAAAGAATATTCTCCAGAGCTCTGCTCAAACTATTTATCTGCAGTTTTTTCTGCCCACACTCACAGTCCTGCCCCGTTCTTACCTCTTCCTTGTGACCCGAGCTCCGATGTGACAAGGACAGAACAGAGCAGAAGTTACTGTGCCATTAACTGTCACTGTGCAGAGGCTGGAGGCTCCCCTGGGAACTGGTGTTCTAGAAAGCATGGGCTTACAGCCTGGATGGTGAATGTTACTGATACAACCTCACAGTTCTCTGCTCTTTGCACAGAGACCAGGGCAGATGAAATTCTGGGCTAGATCAGGGTTAAAATGAGCCATCATGAACAATGCCTGCCTTCTGCTCCTTACACTTCTTTTCCTTCTTGCCATCCTTTTCTCTCACAGCAGATTTGAGGTTCCTGGGGCGCCTCAGTCCTGTGCAGGCAGCTCCTTTCGCTCTTCTCACCCAGCCAGCCAGTCAGGCGCCCAGCATTGCTCCCAGATACAGAAAGCAGCAGTGACTTCCCAACAGAAATATTGCAGTTCAGAAAGCAAACTGGCAGTGACAGAGCAATGGCCACAGCCAGTCTGATTATTCAGGTGAAATACAAGCTGTGTTTTCTGGATGACAACTTTACCACCTGTTGGTGGATCTTCATCACTTTGCTCTTTTCCTTGGGCTAAAGCACAGCCTTCAGTACATTCATTCTGATGAAAAAACAATTTAGGAACAGCTCTCACACAAGCAAAACATCCCTAAAGCCCAGTTACCTCCTCAATACGCTCCATTCTGCCTTCATCTTTTTCTACTTTTCTCATAGCAATTCTCCCTCAAATTCTTTCCGTGTCTCCCCCTCATGTTAGAACCTTTGCTACAGAGAGCAAAAAGGGGTCACTACAGCTGTGCATCCGCATCCCAAAAGGTATTTCTTGTGCTATCCTGGCTACGACAGGAACAGTAGACAGAAAATGAGTGCCATGTTACACGGCCTGCAAGTTCTAGACTCTGGCCTTGTGTTTGCAACTGTGAGATCTTCCCAGAGCTTTCTCCAAGCTGAACAAGCCCAGCTCCCTCAGCTTTCCTTCACAGCCCTTTGAATAAAAAATGACACAACTGATGAGTCAGGATTGCTGCGTGCAAAACGTTTACCTGTACGAAAGTGTCAACACGCTCTGTGATTTGAAAAAACAATCTTTTTTCCATGGCACAAATCCTTGAGGCCCCAAAGAACTCAAGGGAAGGTGGGTGCTGGCAGTGAGAAACCTTTTGGAAGGCACTGGCCCTCAGTGCTGTGTCGAGGGGGGCTGGGGAAGGGGCTCAATTCAGCCTTTTTCGGTCTGCTTTCCTGGTGTTCCTTCAGCCCTCGTCACCCCCACAGCCACTGGAAGGCCTCATATCATGGCCACATCTCCCCCAGCCTATTCAATGCCCCCCAGAGCAAAGCCTTCAGCCCTCTGCCAGCCCGCCCAGCCGCTGCTTTGTGTGCTCAGCCTGAGCTATGCTGAGGTCCAACTTCTTACAACGTTTATGTGTGGAAGCATTTATTTGAAGCTGTTTTTCTACCATGCCTGAACTTCTACCCAAATTGATTTCCCTAGAGGGTATCTGAGCAGCGGATTGTGTTTCTTATCCGCACATTTCACTGTGCAGCTCCTCTCAGGAGTGCTGAGCTGAATTTTGGGACAAGCAGCCGTTTCTTCACACACGGAACGTCCCCAGGATCCCTCTGTGGGGAGATCCTGTCAGGACTACAAGCCTTAGGCAGCCACGGGCCAAACCCGCGCTACTTCGCCCGGTCTGCTTACAGAGCCCAGCCCGTGGACTTCGAGACACGCCTCGATGGGGGGGATGGGAATGAGCCCCTCAGCGCTCCGCCGCAATCCCACAATGCTCCGAGGCACGGCCCGCGGGCGCAGCGCTGCGCGCTCTCCTACCCCCATTCAAATGAGCCACCGCGGGCTGCGCTGCGGGGCACGTCGGGATTTGTAGTCCCGCACTCCCAGCTCAACGCGGGGCACCGCCTCCAGCCGGACTCGTTTTCCCGGCGCGCATCGGGGCGGGGCCGGGCCTTGTGGGGCGGGGCGGGGAACGCGGGCGAGAAAGGCTGAGGGGGTTCGCGCCGCGCACGGGGCTGCCGCCATAGTGGGAGCTGCGGGGTGAGTGTGGGGGGCGGGGCGGCTCGGCGGGGCCCGGCTGTCGGCACACGGCACCGCTCGGCGGCTCCGCGCTGCGGGGCGTTGCCGGTAGGCGCCTGACCAGGCCCGGCCCTGACCTTCCCCGTCTTTGAGGCGGGGGGCGGCGGCCGGGGGTTGGGGGAGAGGAGCGGCGGGCCAGGCGAGGCCCCGCAGCCGGAGGGGCGGCGCCGCCGTTTGGGTGTCGGGAGGAGGTTTGCGAGGGAGATGCGGGGCCGCGGTGACCGCCGGGCTGTGCTGAAATGAGATAACCAGGGGATCCGAGTTGAACGGATTCGGGTTGAAGTTCCTGCCCAAGGCTTTAGGGCTGTGGAACAAAGGATAGGTGGGTGCTGGCTGTAAGGCTTCGGGCTGCTCGCCTTCCCCACAGCACACGCTGGCCCCAGTCTCCTTTTGGGAGCGGCTTCAGGCTGTAGCAGCGATGGGGAGAGAAGAGGCGCTGGCAGGTTAGAAGTACAGAAGTTACGGTGTCAGCGATGAAACGCATCACCTCATTTAAGATTTAGGTTAGGTGTAAGGAGGAAATCCTTCCCTCGGAGGGCCGGTGCTGCTGCCCAGAGCTGTGGGTGCCCCATCGTGGAGGTGCACCGGGACGTGGATGGGCTCTGGGCAGCCCTCTCCACAGCAGGAGATTAAAACTAGGTAATCTCTAAGGTCCTTTCCAACCTAAGCCATTCTGTGGAAATACAGTGATGTTGTGGCCCGCTTTGGGGCTGCTCGGCTCTTTTCCACCCTAATTTCTGTTTGTTTCATGTGCCTCCCTAAAAGACTGCAGATTGTTCAGTAGGTAGCTTGAAATATATTTGCTTTACCATCCTTTTTTCCTTCTGTTCTGAAAATTCCAGCAGCTTTCAGCAATTTTCTCTGGTGGGGTGTCTGTTGTCCCTGCTGTTGATAGTAAGATCATGTCGTTAGTAGTGGTTGTGGTACATTCTGTGTAAGGATTGCAGCCTACACAAACAGCTCATAACTAAGGCGATTTCTTTTGGTTGCTTTTAAACTCCCAAATGTTGGGGTGTCACAGGTGGCTTTCATATCTGTATTTGTGCACAAGTGCACCTTTGCATACCCTGTTCTCTGGAAGTAGAAACTGTGAGGAGGCCTCATTGCAGCCTTTCAGTTTTTAAAAGGAGGATTATAAAAAGGGGAATAAACTTTTTACTTGGGTGGATAGTGACAGAATAAGGGGCCATGGTTTGAAGCTTAAGGAGGGAAGGTTTAGAGTGGATATCAGGGGGAACCCTTCACAGAGAGAGTGGTGATGTGCTGGAACAGTGGCCCAGAGAGGCTGTGGATGCCCCATCCATTCCTGCAGGTGTTCAAGACCAGATTGGATGGGGCCCTGGGCAGCCTGAGCTGGTATGAAATGTGGAGGTTGGTGGCCCTCTGCATGTGGTGGAGGGTTGGAGCTTCATGATCCTTGAGGTTCCTTCCAGCCCTGACCATTCTATGGTTCTATGATACCGTGTGCTTGCAGGAAGCAAATGAGAAGAGAAAATGCATGGTTGTGGAATTGTGAGGTAGGTAGGTGCCATGGGAAAAGTTCTGTGAGTGTGGGTGTTGTGTTTTTCTCCTTCTTTTTCCAGGCATATGTTGCAAATCTGGAGCTTAACAAAGATCTGCGACCGTTGGTGCAGAGATGAGGTTTAACGAGTCGTGCTTACGTGCCTGCAAAGCTTGTTGATCATAAAGCGTGCTGCAGAAAATCTTCCATGTTTGAATGGTGTCAGTCAGTAATGAGGGAATGCTGTGACTAAACGTACAGCGGGGTAATATAATGCAGCTTTTATCTCAGTCCTCTTGCATTTAGCACCTCAGTAAGTCCACAGAACTGTTTTTAGGGGCGCTTTGTGCTGCCTGCTTCAGGGCTGTTATTTGCACGGCCACTTGGACAAACATGCAGCTGGAATTGTTCCTGGATGGGCCAAGCTGAACTGTGAACAAAGGGATCAGATGGCAGTAATTGGTGGATGATCTTGTGGGGATAAAACTGAATATTACTTCGGGTCTTTTAGTCCACGAATAAACCTGATTAAATTTTGAGTAATTTAATGCGATATTTTTCTTCTGTAGCTTGAAAAATAGCTTTTGGTTTTCTCTTAGCCTGGAACAGCTGTCGCAGTAGTCACAGGGATGGACAGATGGAAACATCTGACAGTTTGCTATTTCTTGGACATGGAACGTTGTGTTGCTCTGCCTAGCAGGTGAGGAAAGACATGGAGCAGCTGTGTTGTTCTGCTCTGTGCCCCCTGCTTTTCTGAAGGTGGCCATTCTGGAGTTTCTCCTGGGGAACACAGCAAGGATTCAGCCTTGTGCATTTCTGTTCTGTTTTTGGGTTTCACTGAGGGGGCCATGAAATAAACAGCCACACGTGTAGCATGGTTGCTTAACAGCAAAACATTGTCTTACCCTGCTACGTATAAAATAACATATGCCCAGCTATTTGATAATCATCTAGGGTGACTCGTGGGTTGTCAGATTGCAGACAGGATGAGCATCAAACTGAGCACAGGAAGAGCTTCTGCAGAGAACTACCTCCCCCATCCATTTATTTACTAGTGTCCCTCTACTTGCTAACGTCTGTAACCACCAAAATACACTTCAGGTTGGCATAATTCCTGCATTAATTTGTTTTAATGAAGTTGGAGGAGAGGGGGAAAAAAAACAAAACTGTGAGAAGTCAATTATTTTCTGTATATTTCAGGAGGAAAATGTCTGCTCCATGTCACGCCTTTCTCACTTTCCATTTTCCAGCTGTGCACATACCCAGACTTCATTATTTCCAGGTCTGAAAGCGTGTTTAGAATAATTTCTAGCATTCTTACCCTCACATTAAGGTGCGTTCTATCTCTGTCCTGAGCTTGCTTTCTCTGGAGGAGCATGAGCAGGGCTTCCACCACCTGCAGGATGGCTTTCCACAGAGCTGTGGGGGCTGGGGGAGGTGAGAGGCCTCCAAAACTCGGAAGGGATTCTGCTTAGACCTGGGAGGGGGGCTTTTCCTCTGTACAGCGCAGCATTGAAACAACTTGCACGTGGGGGTTGTGTTATCTCTATTGTCAGAGGCTCTTGGCATCAAAGGGGGTAAAGGCAAAGTGGGCAGCCTGGTCTGATCTGATGCCCTGACTGACCCTGTGTGGAGATGGAGCTCCTGAAGTTCCTTCCCATCTGAATTATTCAGGGCTGCCACCATCATTTGCTTTGTTTCTTCTCTTGATAGCGTACAAAGGCAGCTATCTGCTATCCAGTGATTCTTGGTGTAGGCACTGGGCGATCTGTTGAAAGGTAACTAATCCTCTGACTGTGGTTCCATTGTGTTCTTAGAAAGCGCGTGCAGGAGGAGCTCCTGCCTCGGTGTTTTAGGAGCAGCGGGGGAGAGAATGAAGGGGGAATGGTTGAAAAGTTGTTTACTGCTTTACGTTTTTCTTTGTGGCACTTAAAGGCTGCTCGCCAGTGAACGAAATGCACGTGTGCTAGAGGTGTGTGCAACAGGAGCTGACACAGCTGGCAGCTCTTCACTGTCTCTCTCATTAATCAGTAGCAAAGGGCGCAGCAACGGATGGTCTGGATTGTGTTTGTGTGGATCCCCAGGTAGCCCTGAGCCCATAGCACTGGTTTGAGGGGAGCTTTGTGCTCTTGTTACGTGGCTCTTCTTTCTTCCATAGAGCACCCCACCAGCTCAGTGTGTTCTTAAGCTTCAGTGATCTTAAGAGAGCTTAACTTTGGTGCAGTGGTGTGCAGAGCCAGCTTTAATATTCAGGGGGTGTGGTTTGTTTGTGCTCAGATTTCTCATGGAAGTAGTGTAGTCATACACAGAAACTGCAGATGAGATGGGGATTTTTTCCCTTCTGTCAGTGTGGTAGGTTATTCTTTTAGGCTTTTCTTTTTTCTTTTCTTCATTTCTGCAGGTCAGGAAGCCTGTACTGAGCTTATTTGCTTGTGTTTGTTGTGTGATTCCTTGTAGCTTCTTGGGTGGAGCATCCCTTGCAAAGGGAGGCCAATATGTAATGCAGATAGCTAAAGAATGCTACATTACTCACTACTGCTCATACCTTTGTGTTGACATCAAAAAGAGCTGGGTTCTTTTAGAAGTGCTGGCATGCCCTTCTTGAACTCAGACTTAAATTTGTTACCTGATTGCAGTCAGCTTACATGTGTCCAGGTCTGATAATGCAGTAAGCACAGCTGCTGGCTGAAACAATGCTTTGTGGCCTTTCTCTGTCCTGCAGAGATGTGTTGATAGCCCACCTCCTCCCAAGGTTGCCACTGCTCACAGGCTTCAGGGAAAGCAAATTGTTTTCATCTGTCAGTGAATGGCAGAATAAAAAAGTGGCTTTTCCTTCACTTACGTATCTGAGTGGCATTACAATGTGCTGACAGAATCACCTCCACGTTGTTCTCACGGTTTCTTATTCGTCAAAGGAAGCAATAGGAGGAGTTTTCAGCCAGACCCTGTGTTCATCCCAACCTCTCATAGCCTGAGTCAGAGCAACATAGAAGGAGGGATGAATGTAGGTATGAATACCCAAGCTGTTAAAAGATCCCATGTTTCTGTGTTTTATGGACAGAAAGTCTTTTGCCCGAGGCCATTGTAACCTTAGTGTCATTGCAGGTTGTTTAGGGCCCGTGTGAAGTCCCATCTCTTCCTGCCTCCTCTGTCTCATACCTTCTTTCCTTCCCCCTTGCCATCTGGATAATGCAGCTTCACTCAGTATCAGTGCCTTCTGCTGTGTGCCAAAGCAGTTGGGTCAAGGTTTATTCAGGCAGTCATCTCTGTGGTGGACCTGTATGGCTGGTGGCACGGGACGTCACAGGATGGGGAGGGAGGCTTTGGGTTATTGGGCTGCCTTGGTTGATTTGGCAAGATTGAGCAGCAACGGAAGCACGGGGCAGTGATGCTGCAGTGGGTGGGCCGTGCAGGAGTTTTGTTTGGGTGGCTTTGTTTGCATTGAGGAAAGGCTGCCATGGTGAACTGGGAAGTCTTGCAGGATGTAGATATGAATTCCATCTGTGCTGCAGGACCTTGGCTTTGGGGTCAGGGATGTGGCAGTGTTGAGCTGCAGGAGGGTGAGTACAGGATGAGAGTGATAGGTATTCGGCCACTGCTGTGTTGGTTAAGAGGTGTAGGAAGTGTGGGGGGCACACAGGGGGCAGGAGTTTGCATTAGGGGATGTCAGCATGTGGTGGGGAAGGAAAACCTGGGTGGATGTCACCAAGAGATCCCCTGCAGAGCAGTGGCAGAGCGCTGTGCTGTCACAGTGTACTTGGTAGAGGGACAGTTGCTGGCAGCTGTGGGCTGCATTGGGCTTCTGCTTGAGCACTGACTGCTGGCTGAGCTGGGGATGAGCTCTATAATATGAGCAGATTCCAAGCAATGTAACAAGTACTGTGAGTCCAAGTGTTAGACTCCACTGAGGCACACTGATAGCTCAGCCTTGCTGCCGAGCTTCTGGAAAGAACCTGTGCTCTAAACTTCACAGCAGGAAACATGAGACACCATGGAGGAAAGGGTGACGCATCAGAAAAGGAAGACAAGTCTTTTGGGGAAGAGTGTATTAAACAGAACCGTGTATGAGTGGCACAGGGGAAAAAAAAGAAAGTCAAAATTAACCAGGAGTCATTAATTCCAGCAGGTTTTTTTTTGAGTTCAGCTCTCACTTCTCTAACAAAACCAACACTGTTGGATTTATACAGATTTATTTAGCACTATTTTACCTAACAGAATACAAATACATTTTTAAGGAGGAGGTAGCAAGCTTGCACGCTAATTTTAAAAACCATGATACCACTTTCTAAATTTAAAATTCCAGTCCCTTAATTTCTGACAGTCTTAAAGGCTTTCTTGGTTTCATGCTTGAACAGAAGGTGTCTGGTGCTTGTGTGAGGCTGAGTGCCTCGAGGAGCTGAGGGTGGCTGGGGCTCAAGGAGCTGCAGGGCTGGCGCACAGCTGCAGCTTGGCTTTGTGTGATGGTGCTGTGAGCTCTTAGGGGGGAACACACATGTGGATTAACAGATTTCACTGAGAGCCAACTTTTTTACATGCAGAATAATAAGCTGGTGGCTGCCATTTACTAGTTAGATACGGTTTAATGAGATTCCCACTTGAACATTTAGGGAGGATGTCTGATCTGTGTTCATGGACTGAAGCTGAAGCAATGATGGGCCACAGAAACTGAACGGAGTTGATTTTTTTCACTTGGGCTGTTTGCTGTACAGCAAGCACCAGTCTGCCATCCCAGACTATCACCTGTAGGTACCCTCAGGACTGGAATGCAAACAACAGGCTTTAAAAAAACCCAAGTACTGGTACTTCTGGTTTTCCCAACGAGGCACAGGCGTCCTCAGCAGCAGGAAGTATAGGGAGAAGTGCAGTGAGGACATCAGAAAGCTTCTGCAGAAGCTGAGAGGGAGGCTGGCACACTTGTATGTGATCCAGGCTGTCTTTTCTCCAGTAAGGACATGTTTTGGAAGACCTGTGAGCTGTGCTGCCCTTGCAGGGTTCATCTTCTGCTTGTAGGAAGCGTTGAATCCTTGTGCCTGGCCTTGGTACAAAGGTGAGGAAATGGGAGCAGAAGTACAGAGGTGTTCTTGAGGGACGTGTTCTGTGTCACTCAGTTGGGCTGCAGCATGCACACAGGTTACAATGGGAGGATAAATCCTGAGGAAGGCTTCCTGAAGCTGGAGTGGATAGCTGCTTTCCCCAGGACTTTTGAGATGGGACAGAGAGGTTTGAGGTAGACCTCATCTTCAGCAGCACACTGGGAGACTTATGGCCAACGTCTCAAATGCTGGGAGGGCAACACAAGGCCCATCTGCCTCTGATGCTGTAGCTAAGGAGGGCTCTGCTGGTTTGGGTTGTGTTACTCATCCTTTGGGCATGAATGTGTTTCTTCCACCTGCAAAATAATGACACAACTGCACAGCCAGGGCTCAGCAAGTCCAAACCAATCACATGAGTTTGCTTAGCGTGAGCCAGTGTAGAAGGGATGGTGTTAGGGGGCACAGGGTGTTAAGGAGGCTTGTTTTGATTGTGAGAGACAAAAACTGTAACCTGTGCTACGTTAAGAATTCAACAGGGAAGGACAGGATAGTGACACAAAGGCAGTATGCTCGTGCCCATGGCAGTCTTGCTATTCATTCTAGATCCTGAGGTTTCTTCTGGAAGGTGGATGGAGGTCTGCAAGTTCTATCCTGACAAACATAGTGAAAGAGGAAAATCCCATATTGCGTTTTTGGTTGGTTATTGCTTGTAGGGAAAACCAAAGGCCTTGCACAGTGAGCTTATGCAGATGTGCAGGTTAGTTCCCATGGGTTTGTTTGGTGCATTCCTAAAACTCGGCATGCTTGTGCAAATTCAGGACTGAGGCAGCTCCCCAACAGTGTTGTGTGGGAGCCCTCTGCTACGTGTGGGGAGATTCATTGGCAAATCCTGCTTGTGCTGCTCGGGCACAGTCTGGAATTGTTGTATAGCTGGAGAGCTGCTGGTAAACGTTCTGAAGTGTGGGACAGAGGCTGTTTGAAAGAAAGGAAGTGACTTTAGGAAGGCTTTCTTTCGATACACAATCCTTCAGTCCAAGCTGAGGTTGTCTGCATCACGGTGAGGGGATCCTGAGATCAGTGCTGACCTCATTGACTGCGTGGTTGCTGATGAATTAAGGGTATTTCAGAAATGGGATAGACGAGTTTCATGTACTGTTCCAGGAAGAAAAAAAAAGAACATTCAGTGCTTACAGAGCCAGGTATCCATCCCTGGCAGGGCTGGACTTCTAATTAGCTTTCTAACTGCCATGATTGAAAGAAAGAATCAGTCTGAAATCATGCACAAGATGGAGAGATGGCCTTTTCTTCGTGGAACCTGTAGGAGCAGCACATCCTGTGTAGGTCAGATGTGGAGAGCTGGAAACACAGACTGTTTTAGTTGAAAGGGGAAATCTTAATTTTACCACCACATCCTGAAATGACTCCAGGTTCAATTATAAACACTGAGTGTACCTCAGCCTTAGTGATGGGATACTAGAGAAAAGCAGGTCCTAAAGCTAGGCTGTGCTGCGCAGCTAGCTAGTGGAAGTGAATAAATTCTGATTGTGTACCACTAATAGGATGCTCTTCACAGAGGGACCTGTGTGGGTTAGAATGCCCTGTTCAGGAGCTGAATAGGTAAAGAAGTGCTATAGCCTTGCAGACAATCATTTGTAACACTTGTGTTGTTAACAATGAATGAGATCAAGTCAGAATAGCAGCAGCTGGCCAACTTTTTCAGATGGTGACATTTTTGAAATCTGTGAATGTGAGGCAGTAACATTTACTCACTTTGGTTCTTATTTTCTGCTTCTGCGAGTTGACCTTCCACTGAAACAGCACTAGAAATCACTGACTGCTCTCATACAGAATAAAACCATTTGGTGCCCAGGACTTATTTCACAGAAGTCTGGGATGCTGAGGTGGTGTTTGTCCTTTTCCTAAAGAAGAATTTTGGCCAGCTGAGGGATTCTGTGTCCACTGGTGCTTCAGCCACGTGTTATTCTTGTTTATGCAATTGCTCTTTCTGATAATTCCTTGTTTTGTTTTACAGTCACCAGCTGTAGGTGAGGATTCAGAATGGGAGACAAGCCTATCTGGGAGCAGATTGGGTCCAGCTTCGTACAACATTACTACCAGCTTTTTGATGCAGACAGGACTCAGTTAGGAGCAATATATGTAAGTAGTAAAGATGCCCTGTTACATCACATGTGGGATAGTGGGTTTTAACCTGACTTGGAATATCAGTCAGTGCAGCTGCACTTGCTGCACTTACAGTTTTTGCCTCCAGAAGATTCAGAGTGCTCTGTGTGATTACTGGTGGTGAGGAATGCTGCTGAGTGGCTGGGCTGTTTCAGCAAGGCACTCAGGTCTGACGAGTCTTCCAGCAGCATGTCCTGTTTTTCTGACCCTTGCTGAATGAGTCATGTGAAATTTCACCAAGTTCTGGAGGATTTAAGTTGTAGGAGCACTGTCTGATTTTCCCCCCCCCACACCTCAGCAGTCTCTACGAACACTGATACCATTTGCTCTTTGGATTCTTGTGTTTGCTAGCTGTTGCCCTGTTTTGACAAAGGAGCTGTGAACAGAGAAGCCCATAAAGCAGGGAAAAACAAGTAGCCAATGTTTAATCACAGCTCTCAATATGAAGGCACTTGGCAGTTCCTGTCATGCCATTGCTAAAATGCTTCAAATCTTCAGAAGACTGGTAATAAGTACAGGGTAATTAATTCTGGAAACATGGCCATCCATACAATGAACTCATGTGCTTTTTTTCTGCCCTTGGGGCCTTTTTACCTTTCATCAGCATTCAGTGGAGGTACCTATGCAGGAGCAGGCTGTGTTATGCAGCTCACTGATGTAGTGTTTGGTGGAGTTCCATGAATATGAAGCTTTTTGCCTGTTGCTGTTGCACCTGCTGTAGTGTGCTCTGCATGCTCTCTCTCTCTCGTACATGGGAGGAGCTTTTAGGCTGAAGCATCTCAATCGTTTTGTGCCACACAGGGTTGGCAATCTGTTAGAAAGCCTTTAGAGGCACATCCCACTTTGCTGGGTGTGAATAGGAAATGCAGGTTGGTACCTTAGTTGAATAAAGTGTGACGGTACAAGACATTTTTATCAGGTTTCATTTATTCTCTGTGTGTGCTTGACTTGTGTCCATGCTTTTAGACTTTCTCATGAAAGCTAACTTAAATCCAGAGCCAGGAACTTTTTTTGCTGGTAGAATCATGGTAGTGAAACTTAATCTACTCGATTTTCACCTGACAGTTGTAAACTATTTCAGTTGCTCTTTGTGGCTTCTTCCCATCTCCCTTTGAGGTAGTTTATAAATAGCTGGATTCTAAGAATGCATACCAAGTAAGCAAAACCTCTTAATGAGATTTGTGAAGCATTACTTAAGCAGGCTGATGATCTTTGTTTTTCCTTTTCCCTCAGATTGATGCATCATGCCTTACGTGGGAAGGACAGCAGTTCCAGGGCAAAGCAGCTATCGTTGAAAAACTCTCTGTAAGTCTTTAATCCTTCCTGAATGTTTTGGGGAAACAGTGCTGCAGACTGCTAATGAGCTGCCTCTTAAAAGTGTGATTTAGGTTCTAGAGTGAAGAACCTGGGTTTCCCTCAGTGCAGCATACCTTGGCTTTTCTGGTATGGGTAGTTACAGTTATGTTTCAGTGCTGTGAAGTCAGTGTTTCTTCTTGCATCAAGTCAGAGGAAAGTATTTTGTAACTTAGCAGACTGAAACTCTCCATCCATGTTTCTAGTTAAACTTGGAGAAGTTTCATCTTTTTGAGATATGCCTTTTCTATAAAAATGAGTGTGCTTATAAGCTGTGGGATCAGAAACTTTTTCTCTTGCAAGATATGTGGAACATGTGCTTTATAGCTCTGATGTTCTGCTCAGGGCATGGTATGTCAAACAATGTGACAGTTTCAGGCTTTCTATCTTGCACTTTGAGAAGAAAATCTTTGTTCTTTCTCCACGTGTGTTGTTACACAGCTCTTCCTCCCGTATTTTGGGATCAGTGCTTTCATCCAAGGTGTCTTTAACTGAGATGTAAAGGCTGAGATTTACTCTTAGCTTTGAGTTTTAGGTGCCTGTGTTGCTATTGAGAAGGCCATGCACCTCAGAAATAGTACAGCTTGCAACTCACTTCTAGATGAGGAGTGAGGAGATAATCATGCTCTAGAGTTGCTTGTTTACTCATTGTTCCTTAGGCAGCCAATTAGACACCCAACCAGCTAAAATTTGCCTGGCCCTAGCATTTCAGGCTGCTGCATTGGATCTGGTCCAGTGCAGATCAGCCTCTTTCCCATCTGAGTGTTGTATCATCTTTTCATCTTACCTTTTTGTGGTGGGAGTTGGACTCTGTGCGTTCACGTGCTGGCTGCAAAGTCTTGCTTGGTGAATGGAGGCATATTTCTTTTCCCCAAGGAAGTATTTGGATTACATCCATCTGCTTAAAGGAAGGAAGAAATGCAATAAGATAATTCTGTGCCCTCCCCTACCATGGCTTGTTATGGGACTGCAGCATCTTGCCCTGACTCTTGCTCTGTAGCTGTCAGCACTGAGCTATGTGGGTTTTGTTTGCTCCTTTAACCTAATTTGTTCACTTGCTCTCTTTGTGCTTTTGGAGTGTCTGAGCATTGTTGGGCACGTTGCTGAAGGTTTGACACTGGAGTTCTTTTGCAATTCTGTGATCCTGTGTTCTTTGGGCCCTAGCACAAAGAGGCAGGTTTTTCTCTTAACAGCAAGATCTCTGCTGTATTATAGCAAAGCTACAGCACCTCTCAGCCTGCTCTGTCAGATGATGCTGATACAATTGGGCAAGGTCACAAAGACACTGCTTTGCAAGCACTTGCACCCTTGTTAAAGAGTGGGAGCTGACACACATGCCTTCTGTCTTAACTGGTACTGGGTGAAAGAATCATCTCAGAGTGCCTGTTTGCTTTGAGCATTTGGGTAATCCTGTAGTTCCAGGAGCTTCTTGGAGCAGGGAAGAAGCTGGAGCAGGTAGCTCTAATGATGGAGCATTTGCAGACCAGCTTTAGTGTTTGGTGAGATCTCTTCATGTCTCTTGAAGAATCCTGCTACAGTTTGGTTTTCCTGCATTAACCAAGCCTATCCAAAATCTCTGCCAGTAAGGCCTTGCATTTAGCTTATTGCATGTAGTAGGCTTCTCAGGTTGGACATCTCATAAAGTAGGAGTAGTGCTTGCAATTGTGGTAGGAAATAGAGGTCCATCAGAGGAAATCAAGGGTGGATGCTGTGTAGCAGGTAGCTTCTCCTACTTCCTGCTTAGTCTGCAACCAGAGCTGAGTTTAAAGTACCCCAAAAAAGCTATGTTCTTGCAGAATTTCTCATGACTTAGAAGGAGAATTCTGCAGTTCTAATAATGAAAGGTCCAGAGTCTTTCTCAGAGGACTCTAAAAACTTTGCTTGTGGCTTTTCATTCATCAGCCACTTTAACTGCACACTGCATGTAAAGAAATGCTTCTCTCTGGTATAGGTGGGTATCTGCATGCAACCATCTCTTGAGGTAGTTTCCCTTAATCTTAAATATTGGTGATTTTGGCTGACCTTACTCAGTCCAGTCACTGTATTCAAGGAAGAATAGCTTGTTTGGCTGCCCAACCATTAGGGCCCTTTTTCTCTGACAGGGTCAGTCAGCTGTCTTTGAACAGGCACCACTGTGCCCGACAGGACTGTTGCAGCACCTGCTTAACATGTAGCTGTTGTGCTGAGGCCAGACTGCGTTTTGTAATACTCTCATTTGTCCAAGGATGGGTGTGTGATGTCCCAGCCTATGCTTGTGCAGGCTGGGCATGCACATTACACATTCAAGTTCAGGATGGTGACCTTGGAAAACGTTCTGCAAAGCAGCAGACTCATTTTTCCAGTTCATGGTAGTTTGACATTATTAACCCAGCCAAGAGGAAATACTGGAGTCTTTGTTCAGGGCTTTTCTTGAATAGTGTCTCCCTGCAATTGGAGGGCTGCTCTGTACACTTGTTTTGTTCCCCTTAAAGTAAGTTCCCTCCTGGTCCTTCCTCAGTTGTGTTCTCTCTTAGCCAAGGATTTAGTTTCCTGGTATGCTTCCTGAAACCTTATATTTGTAGGGCTAAGTTGGTAGTTCATGTTATTGCTAGTAGCACTCCAGTCTTCTCTTCTTACTTCTGCCTCCTAGGAAGTCTTTCATGCTCTCTGTGCTCGAGGGTAATGCAGAACTTATCGAAGGGCACATTTGGGTCTGTCTTAAGCCTCTTAAAAATCAGAAGGATTGAGTGAAGTTGGTGCATCCTACTTGTTTGAGTGACTGCATGCTGCTTTCCTGTGTTGAGTTTAGGTATCAGCCACGTTCTTGCCTAGAGCTCCATCAGAACTCTTAAAAACCCAAACTGTTTGCAAGTTTGCTACTTGGAGGCATGGGTGGTTAGCATGTGAATGTGGTCAAACTGAAAAAAAAGGGATCACTCCTCAGTGGCTGGTGTTTCTCATTGTATGTACGTTGCCACTTCTAACTCCACCTTTTTTCTTCTCAATGTATGTGCTTTTGCTGTCCTGTCTGCCTCATGGCAAAGATGTTGCCATTTGCTGTTCTGATTCTATTCAGTTGCTAACATCAAGGGGGAAAAAAAAAATCAAACAGAAAAGGTAGAGATGAGAAATTTAGGTCTTGAATGCAAGTTCTTGGTCAATCTATTCCTATTAATAACCACTTTGAGGAAAGGCATGTTTGGATTTATATGGTAAACCCTGTGTGTTAGGTCATATGCTCTTTTATTATTCTGCAGAGCAGAGTTTTCTGCTTTCCTCATGTGAACTTCCAGCTTTCAGATGAAGTAAAGCTCTTGAGGCCGTGCAATTAGACAAGAAAAAGATACTAATTAATGACTGTAGTGGCATACTTACTTTTAAAGCACTGTGACATGAAGTAACTGTTATGATCCACCCAGCTGAGTAGTGTTGAGTTGGAAAAGCTCTCTGTACAGTACTGCTAAAATCTAATACTTCATAATGTTGGATTTGTGTTTTGTGAGTTCAGTAATGCAATGACTGTTTTTTTTTCCCTTTTCATTACAGAGCCTTCCTTTCCAAAAAATACAACACAGCATCACAGCACAAGACCACCAACCTACACCTGACAGCTGTATACTCAGTATGGTAGTGGGACAGCTTAAGGTAAACTCTTTCCATTCAGCAGTAACAAATGCTTATATCTTGTGTTTTTTGCGGGATACTAAATCATCCAAGTTCTGAAAACAAAATACTCTCTCCAATGGGGAAGGAATTCTGGTAAGGTTGCACTGGGATGTCATTCTGCTGTTCAAGTTTATCAAGAAAGTACTTCAGATAGCTTGCAGTAGGCAAAATCACCTGTAATTTGGCAGTCGTTGGCTCACATCCAGCAGGATGCTGAGGTTCTACTACATTATGCACACAGGTATCACAGGGGCTCAAGAAGCATCAATTATTTTGCTTATTCTGCTGTAAGATTTTAGTTGCACTCAGAAGCATCGCTACGCTGTTCCTGGACAACAAAAGCATCTCTAATAGAATATTCTATAACACTTTCAGCTGTGGTAGTATACATCTTTTATTATTTGACAACTCTTCAGTAAGACCACGCTTTTTTGCTCTCTTAAAGTACAAATCCGTAATCCTGGTGTTAACCTTGGTAGGCAGAAGCAGTGGGAAAGTTCCCTCAGAGTTCACACACTTCTTGCTGAAGGAATTTCTTGTGAAGAAAAGCCAGAATAGTTTTCAGCTGTAGTTTGGTTACCCTGCTGTTTAAGTTGCAGTACTGAGCTGCATGAGCTTGCTCAATCTCATCTTCTTTTGAAGAAATGTCTGCAGCCCTGATGTGTTATGATGCAAGTTAATGATACTACTTAATGAAAGAGGTTGTCTTAGAATCTGCAAAAATACCTTGTATTTAAGAACTTGCACTCAGTGGACAATGTTTTATTTTAAAAGTGTGAAATCACCATAGTTATAATTATCAGAACAAGATTTGTTGGAGTTTGGTCCAGCCAAGCTGTCAAATCAGGACTCCAAAGCCATGCAACCTTTAGAGTTGCTTTGGGCCCTGTTTCTCTTAAAATAGCTATTTAGGCTTCCTTGTCCTATTAACTTTAAATGGTACTTCTGTTAACCTTCAGACTTCAACAGAGTGTACTGTTAAGCAAACCTAGGACTGAAAGCTTAAATCTGTTTGCCTAGCAAACATTTTTTTGGGCATCCACTTCTAAGCCTAACACAGATGGCTTTGGCTTTCCTTAAAGGTGCTCTTGCTTCCTAGCTGTGAGTTGGGTTCCAGCTTTCTTATTGCTCCCCCTTGCTTGCCCATACTTGATTGAAGAAAGAACCGTGCGTGCTCCCAGAAAGCCCTGCATTGCAGGGCAGCTGTGAGGTCAGACATGCTGAGCTCACCTGATGCCTGGGTGTGCACAAAACTCAGTGATGTAACCAAGGCTCCTTTTAGGTCAGTGTCTTGGGCCACTCACAGCTGCCTCTGGTTGTGCACAGTCATGTTTTCAAGCTTTCTGTGTAATCACCAAGTGGATCAGAGCTGGTACAAAAATGTGTGGTTTAATGCTCAGAGATGCTGTTCCTCGCTGAGGGAAGTGTTCAGCAAGACCACTGTGATCCTCAACTACAGATGGGCAAATAACTCAGCAAGTCTCTCACGTGATGCATATAGTAACCACTCTTGTCATACATGAAGCTGTTTGTCATACTTAGCAAATGCTTTTTCTTGTGCATGCATGCTAGCAATCGCTTTAGTACACCTTAGTGCTGTTGTAAGGTGACTGAGCAGCAGGGCTCGGTAAGTAACTTAGAGCTGGTGAGTAACTCAACCTGTCTGTAGTTTGTATTGAACAGGGAATGCTGTAGACAAAAACACAGAGCTGCACACTTAACCTTTACTGAAAAGTTACCTTAATGGTGTGACTGTTCTGCACAAGAGAAAAGACATTAAGGACGGTTAGTACCTGGATTTGAAGGGGAAAAAAAACATCTCTTCAGTTTTCCTGTTCACACAACTCAACCAAATCCTTGAAAGCTCAATGCATATACTTTTGAATTCTCTATTTGCAAAACCTGTGTTGTTTTATGTAGTGAAGGATCTTGCAGGAAAGTAACTGGGCTGAAGGACCTGCAGCATGCTTTTTCTGAGCGGTCCTTCTTGGTGTGATGCTTCGGTGGGTTTTCAGAGGCCACGGCTGATTGAATGGCTAATCTGAGAAGTTCAGTGAAGACTCACTGCAAGGGAGCTGAGCACGTCAGCTTAAGCCATTGTATTTCCATCTTGTTTGGTTTTAGGGGGAAAAACTTCGAAATGAATGAAAAGTAAAACCTTGTTCTTCCTTCACACATTGTGGAGTGAACTGCTACCAAATTGTTATAAAGCCTTGGCTCTCTTAGCAAGAATGGTTCTGAAGAATTAATCAGGCCAAAGTCCACTTGTCAAACTCTTCTTCCTTTACCACAGCATTATGCCTTGAGAAAACGTGCATTATTATGCTTTAAATCTCTTGGCCTTTCACTTTGGAGTGGAGTTTAACTGTGGTCAGTTGTAACCACAACTGCACTGTGTCAAAGTCAGGCTTGAGTCTGCCTCTGTGCTGATATCAGTATGACCTGTAAACATAGAATATCTTCTGGAGCAGTGTGAACTGAAGGGGAGTGGACACAACAGCTTCTAGGAGAAGACATTAGAGTGTGACAGAGTGCATCTGAGTGGGGTGAATGATGCCTGTAGTGAGGGTCAGACTGGCAGAAAAAACACAGAGCTTTTATCAGAAAGCTTATTATCAAGTGAGCATGCAAGATTCTCTCTAGTTGATGCTGAGATGGGCAGTAATGTTTTCAAACCTGTGGATGGGTAATAAATGTGCCTCCACCTATTTCAGTTCTGCTCTCATAGCTTTTTATTGCTGTTCATTATGCGTGCTTGCTTGCTTTAACTATTAAGATTGAGCATCAGTTTAAGCCTTCAGGAGTAAGTTTCTTTTGTTGTGATGCTAGTTCTGTGTTCCTCCAGCATGTTACCCAGTATTTCCAGTGTGCTTCACCTAGTAATATATTTCTCCTGTCGTGCTTAGGCAGATGATGACCAGGTTCTAGGCTTCCAACAAACGTTTTTGTTGAAAAATATTCAAGGTGCCTGGGTGTGCACCAATGAAGTCTTCAGGCTAGCCCTCCACAACGTGTAACCTCTGCCTTACCTCTGCTCCCTGCAGTCCTCACTGTCCTGGTTGAGTAAGGAGTGCCTTCTTCTGGCTCTCTGTCAGCTGAGCTCGTGGTGACTGAGAAGCATGGCTGTGGCTTGCACATTCTCAGAGCAGTGTGGAAAATCTGCAGCTCTGAGTGTGAATTTTGAAGTGTTATGAATTAATGTGAACAACTAACTGTTATGCAGTGCCCCTTTTTCTCGAAAGGGAAGGGAAATTAGTAACCCAAATCACTGGATGGTTTTGCAGTGCATGTTGGCTACGTCAAAGCATTGCTTAAAGCCTGTTAAATGAGGCCTAACATCTAAAAAAAATCTGTTCTCTGGTTCCTAGCCTCTCCTTTGAAACAAAGGTAGCTGCAAGTATGCACTTCAGTTAATACTTTCTGTGGGGTGCTGATGGAAGGAGACTAAAATTCTTTCTTTCCAGATGAGTTTTTTTTTTTTTTGACTAGTAAAAATATTCTTTGGCAGCTGCACTTGAATGACAAGGTAGTGTAGCATCTAACACTGTGATGTGACTCAGGATTTCCTACAGTTTGCAAGCCTCAAGATCAGCAGGGATGTAGGAACTACTGGAAGAGCTCGAAAAGCTGCCAAGATCAACAGAGAGTTTGAGCCTGGAGAGGAGGTGACTGAGGGCTGTGTACCTGCCATGTAGATGTAAGGCAGTGTGGTACTTCTGCTAATGACTGGAAGTTCAGTATCTCCACTGACCTGAAGCAAACTCTTGGTCGTGCCAGGCAACGTAACAAAGGACAGTGATTGCAAACCACAGCTTGGGAGGTTCAGACTTGACGCAAGGGACAACATACCAGAAGGATTAGAACCCTGAGAAATGTTGCCTGGACACACTGTGAAATGCTCATGCATGGAGGGCACTGCTGGACGAAGCTGGGTTTGGTGCAGTGCTGCTGGTAGCCCTGCTGCAAGTCTGAGGCTGCACTGGAAATCAGAGGGTCCTTCCAGTCTGATTCTCTGACATATTCAAGGATGTCATGAAAGTGTTGAAGCTATAGGAAAAACAAACCCCACGTATTTAAAGTGTGTGCTCACATCTGAAATGCAAATTTTGAGTTGGACACAGCTGAATTTGGAGGGGAAAGTAAGGATAAAATGTTTCAGTGAGGTTACTTGAGCTGTGATTCAGATCTCACATAAATTGGGCTTGGATTAGTGTGTGCCTTGTGGAGCATCTCGAGTATCTTGGCTGTGGGTCTTGGCTATTAACAGCATGTATTCAGAATTTTAAGAACAGACTGACTATAAATCATTTCATTTAATCTAGATGTAGTTGAAGGTTTTCCTTGTTCTTAGAGAATATTGCTCCCCTAGTCTATGAAGACATGACATTAAATGAATAAAGAAGACAACAGTATGTGACCTTATTGTGGGAATTAGCAACATGCAGAAGAGCAGCTGTTTAAGGAAGAACTCTTTATCTTTTTTCACATGCCCAGTCCTGAATTACATAGAATATGTAGAAGAATATGAAGAACTTCCCCTCAAGCCAAAGTGCTGCCAGCTGGGGTGTAGCTGTGTTTACCACATGTGGAGAAAACCTGCTGTACACCAGGCTGTTAGTGATCTGTTTTTGTAGAGGCACACTCATGTCAGTAATGAGTAAGCTCAGATTTGGTGAGCACTATGTCAGCATCTTCTGGTAGGTGCCTTGGTGACTTCAGAGGAGACCAGAGGGCAACTACGAGTATGCAAAATGCTTACTAATAGCTGTAATTAATACTTGGTCAAGCTGGTAAGATTCTGCCTGGTGGTTTAAATGAAGCCATTAGTGGGGAGCTGGAATGAACCTGAACTGGATTCTGGCTTGGTGAAAAAAGGCTACATTAATAAGGAGCTATCAAATACAAGGTTGCATTTCAAACTTTGAAGTGCTCCACTTTCTTAAAGATTCCAGCATGTGCAGTGTAAAATGAGTAGCAAGGAGTAGCAAAACCTTACTGGGATTTAAGCATCACGTCAGGTACCTGGGAAAAGCCAGAGATGATTACACTCCCAGACTTCAGCACACGGGGCGCCTCCTCTGGATGGACATGCAAGCATCTTTCTAGATAGACATAATGATGGTAATTCCCCTGAAATAATTGCTGTGACTGCTGTCATATGTGCTAATGAACAAGGTGGACAGCCAGTCTAATTCAGCACAATTGCTGTGTTTGCTTTGTGTTAATTACTGTGGAGCCTCTGCCCAGTGTGAAAGAAGGCTTATATCAGCACGACAGAAAGCTGCTCAGTTCATCCTGCTGTTGAACTGTGGCTTTATTAGCACTTGTCTTGATTTTTCTTTCATTATTTCAGCTTGGACTCACTGATACTTCTGCTGCCTGTAGGGCACCAGATTCCTCACTCACTTTGTGATTTTTTTGGTAGCAGTTTATCTTCCCCATCTCCCACTTGATCACTTTTTTTTTTTTTTGTTTTGCAAGCTAGGGTCATTCTCAGTTTACTTTCTTCAGTAGCAAAGTTGGTAGCTTACCCTTCTCTGGCCTTCCCTTATTCTACCTTTTCTCTTTTTTTTAATGTAAGAAATGCATGCAGGATTTGGTATGTGGGTGCTCTGTGTGCTTGTGTTTGCATAATTATGGGCTTTGGTCTCTGTTCCTTTCCTAATAACTGCTGACACTTTTGTCGTGATAGCTGGTGAGCTCTGAGCTGCTGTTTCCAAGCAGTTACTGAATTGTAGCATATTCTGAGCTGGAAGAGACACTGAAGGATCAAATGTGACTCCTGGCTCAACACAGGATCACCTGAAAACCAATTTTGGTGTCACTTTCCGAGGCATAGCAGCTAATCTAGCACCCTTTTTGGTTTTGTTCCCTGAAAATACATCCTACATGGATATATTCCCTGACACTGCATATCACATAACATTTTTTTGCTAGTTGTTGCTATGAAATGCCTGCAGTTGGTTTTAGATTTGAATTTTCTTACTGTGCTTCAGACCCACACTCCTATCCTATCCACACTGATGCTATGAGTGCTGTGGCAGGCTTCCTGCTGTGTGATGTGGTTGCTGTTCTTAGCAAGCTGCTCCTCAGAGTTGTCTTTATTCCTCAGTCAGTTTTTCATCTACATACATTTTACATTTTTAAAAAGATGTTTATAGATACCAGTTCTCTTTCTTTAATCTTTTCATTTGCTTTTCTTGCTAGACAGCTAGACCACTGAGAGCAAACATCCAGCATTTTGACAGTTTGTTTCATGTGCTCCTCTGGCTCCTGCTTTTCCAATACTTTCTTTTCATGCTTTTTCCCCCTTCTCATTCTGAAAGCTTAAAATCCTCCAAAAAGGCTAACTTGAATACAGCATGGTCAGTGTAAGGGAATTGTTTTGTTACTAGATCCTATGGATTGTTCAGACTAAATCCTGTAGTGATTTCCACTTCATACTGAGGCTGTATAGTGTCTCTGAGACTGGTAAGCATTCGATTGGAGAACTAGACTCCCTATAGTCCATTTCAGTACTATTGATACTCCTACTTCTGTAGTCCCTCATTCCTGTAAGCACAGAGCTGAATTGGCAAAGGCAGAAGGTAAGGCACCACTGGAAAGATTCTCTGTGCTTTTCAACACCTCCTTGCAGCTACAGCTACCGTTTCAGAGTTGGTCCTGGAAATGGCAGCAGGAAGCATTGTGTTGCTGGGCAGCTGTACCTGCTCTGGGAAACGTTTCAAAAGCTGAGATTGTTACACAGAGAATTCAGGCAGCACTGCTGCTGTTGGCTTCTAGAGAAAATCTCTTCTGAGGTCCGATCCAAACTACAGCAGTTACAACCTAATTTGAAAACGTGTCTTCTTACACTTGGTTCCTTGGGCAAGGCCCAAAGAAAGTCTGTGGTTCCACATGGTGAGGCAGGCATGCTTCCACTGGTGTTGTGAAGTTTCTGGAATGAGATGTCTGTAATTATTCCAGAAAACTCTAAAGCATCACAGGATTCCTGTCGTTGGGCCTTAGGTTTGTGTTTGCAAGCAACTTGGAAAGGGACCCCTGGTTGTGTGAGTGTCTCGAGGTATTAGTCACCTTACAGCATGCAGTGTCACTGTTAGCATTAGCTTTTTATGTTTTCTTACTGTGTGTTGGAATGCATTTCTCAAGACAGAGCTTTTTGAACGCTTTCCCTTTCTTTCCGCAGGCTGATGAAGATCCTATCATGGGATTCCACCAGATATTTCTATTAAAGAACATCAACGATGCCTGGGTTTGCACCAATGACATGTTCAGGCTAGCATTGCACAACTTTGGCTGAGCTGGCGACCCCGAGGCACCTGTTCTTTTTTTTTTTCCTCCTCTCCTCTTACTGATACTATTCACACTCACAGAACATTCCAAATATCATACACAAACCTGCAGCACTGCAGAGCGTGAGCAAGCAAGAGCTGTGACCTGCCCTTCTGCTGAGTTTACATTGTCACTAGATGAGTTCCTTGTGCATGATGTTTGGAAGTTAGTTAGCTGCATTTGACAAGAGAAATTTGTGTTGTACCAGCATGCCTCGGAAAGAATTTAAAATGCAAAAGGTTGTTGTTTATGTACTGACAAGATGCTCTATAACCCAAAGAATTGAAAGAACAGCAGCCTGTACAGCCCAGATACCGATTTGTTCAGACGTTTCAATGCTACATTACACAATAAAAACATAAGATTTTTTCTTAACAGTTTAAATAGCTTTAATGAGTTGGATATGAGTTTGGTTTGGGTGCTTGTCTGCCTGGTGGGGAAATGTTTGTGAACCTGGAACTTGAACTGAAAGAGTGCTTGATGGTTTTCCCAGCAAATCCTAGTAAAACAGCATCTTCCTTCTCGGCAGCTCTTAGAAGCTTCCAGCTCAACTTTTAACACTGCTTGATAAGTTAGATTTCAGCCAGTTTATTTTCCACTGCAAAACCTTGAAATAATTTGCAAGGCTGACAGCTGTGTAGCATGAAGTTAATCTTTGTGCTGCCTTTTGTGTTAACTCTCAAAGCTAAAGAAGCTGGCTGTGTTTTCTTCACACGGGATGATGCCCACCTCCAGCTCAGAGGTTCCTGGAAAGAAGGGATGCCATTCAGAGGGATCTCAACAGCCTTGAAAAGTGGGCCTGGGTGAGCCTAATGAGGTTCAACACAGCAAAGTGCAAGGTTTTGCACTTGGGCCGGAGGAATCCCAGGCATCCATGCAGACTGGAAGGAGCTCCTTGAGAGCAGCCCTGCGGAGAAGGACCTGGGGATCCTGATGAATGAAAAGCTTAACATGAGCCAGCAGAAAGCAAATGGAGTCCTGGGCTCCATCAGCAGAGGGGTGGCCAGCAGGGACAGGGAGGTGATTGTCCCTCTCTACTCTGCCCTTGTGAGGCCCCATCTGCAGCACTGTGTGCAGGTCTGGAGCCCCCAGTGCAAGAAAGACAGAGAGCTGTTGGAGAGAGTCCAGAGGAGGGCAAAAAGATGATCAGAGGGCTGGAGCACCTCCTGTACAAAGACAGGCTGAAGGAGCTGAGCTTGTTCAGCCTGGAGAAGAGAAGGGTGGTGGGAAAATTAGGGGGTGATCTAATTGCAGCCTTTCAGTACCTAAAGGGAGCCTATGAACAAGAGGGGAATCAACTCTTTGGAAGGGTAGATAACAGCAGGACAAGGGGAAATGGTTTTAAGTTGAAGGAGGGAAGACTGAGGTTGGATGTCAGGGGGAAGTTGTGTACTGTGAGAGCGGTGAGGTGCTGGAACAGCTGCCCAGAGAGGCTGTGATGCCCCGTCCATCCCTGGAGGTGTTCAAGGCCAGGTTGGATGGGGCCCTGGGCAGCCTGGGCTGCTGTGAAATGTGGAGGTTGGTGGCCCTGCGTGTGGCAGGGGGTTGGAGCTTCGTGATCCTCGAGGTCTCTTCCAACCCTGGCCATTCTGTGACTCAGGTCCATCCCATAGTGCCCTTCAGTTTGTACCCGGCTCTGAAGACCTGGCTGGATGCGCTGCGTTTCAGTTCCGATGTTCCATACACAACCAGAGCTGGCTGATAGTATTACAGCGTGGTTGGCTGTCGTGTCTCTGTCCCCCTGGAGATGGCGGCATTTCCCTCCTGGAGGAATTGAATAAATTGATCCATCCAGCATCCGAGACGGCACACGTGAGCAGAATCACAGCTCCTTTACCTGCAGACCTCGCTAAGCCATCCGACCAACATTTCCGAGGGCTTCATTAAGGCTGGAAAACACCTCTCAGATCCCCACCCCCGCCGTGCCCACGTCTTTCAGTGCCGCATCCCCACGGCTCTGGGACGCCTCCATGGATGGGGGCTCCCCACCTCCATGGCCTCACCGCTCTGCGGGAGAAGCAATCGCTCCTAACGCCCAACCTGAGCTCGGCGTGAGGCTGGAGCGGAGGATATCGCACAGACCCGGCCTCGGAGCGGTTCTGCCCTCACAGAAGCTGCCCGGCCGGGGCGGTGCCGATGTTTTTCGCCCCGCCCTCCTCGCGCCCGGAACCCGTTGAACCGGCGGATGTTTCCCTTCAGAGCGTCTCCAACAGCGGACCGGAGGCGGAAGCGTGGGCGGCGGGTCGGGACGGTGCGGCGGGGCGGGCGGGAAGCGGGCCGGGCCCTATGGCCTCCTCCAACAGCATCGACATCGAGGACGCCACGCAGCACCTGCGGGATATCCTCAAGCTGGACCGGCCGGGAGGTGAGAGGCGGCGCGGGGCCCGGCTGTGGGCTCGGCCCGGGCGGGGTGAGCGCGGCCCGAGGCCCCGCGGGTGGGGCTCCGCTCGGCCCGTGTTCTCGTAGCCCGGGGCTGGGTTGGGGGTACGGAGCTGAAGTAGGCGGTGCCGGGGCTGCGCCTCAGTGCTGTGCTGAGAGCTGGGCCCAAAGCTGTGAGAAAGACGGGGAGGCTCTGGAGCTTGTCCAGAAAAGGGAGCGGAGCTGTGAAGGGTCTGAGCGCAGCCCTGTGGGAGCGGCTGAGGGAACGGCGCGGTGCAGTGTGGAGAAGAGGAGCTCGTGGAGCTGCAGCCCTGACAGGAGGATGCGGGGAGGGGTTCAGCCTCTGCTCCTGGGTAACAGCGAGAGGGGGAGTGATGGCCTCACGTTCGGGTCGGATGTTGGGATTAACTCATTTTGTGACACAGCTGCCTAGGGAGGTGGGGGAGTCCCCGTCCCTGGAGGCATCCCAGAGTTGTAGGGATGTGGCACTGAGGGACGCGGGCAGTGGGCACAGTGGGGATGGGGATCTGAGAGCTCTTTTTCAACCTTGATGATCCTGTGACTGAGCTCCATAGCGGCCACAGCTCATGCTGCCTTTGCGCAGCCACAAAGCCCAGAGGTTGGTGTGGGGTGAGGTGGGACTGTGATGGAGCAAATCTACAGAAAGGCAGCTTCGTAGAACAGCTGGCTTGGAAGGGACCTGAAAGCTTCCTATAGCCCAGGTGTCCCAAACCCCATCCACGGCCCTGAGCACCACCAGCAATGGAGCTCCCACAGCAGCAGCAGTACCAGGGTCTCACCTCTCTCTGAATAAATAACTTGTTCCTAACATCTAACCTACATCTTTCCTCTTTTAGTTTGAAACCATTCATTCTCCCTTGTCCTGCAACTATCAGGCTACATAAGAAGTCACTTCTGTCTTTTTTTATGAATTCCTTTTACGTGCAGGAAGGATGCATGGAAGTCTCCCCAAAGCCTTCTCCAGTATGAACAAGCACAGCTTCCTTTCCCCTTATTCATAAGAGAGGTGCTGCAGCCCTATGAGAGTCTTCATGGTCTCTGCTTCTGCTCCAGCAGCCCCACATCCTTCTTGAGCTGTGCTGGGGGCCCCAGGCTTGGACACAGTAATCCACATGGGACCTCATGAGGGCAGTGCGAAGGCGAACAATCTCCCCCTCATCCAGTTTCATTATTAGCCGTAGAAAGCTTCTAATTGTTTGAAGTTTCTCTTGTTGCTGGAACACGTAGGTGATCCAAAATTGTATTTCTTATACTGTGAAAAAAATACATTTTTCCTTTCCAAAAGCTCTCTGCTCCAAAAGGAGAACTCAGTGTGGTGATGGGGAACTTGCTACCACTTCCTTTACTTCCACTTTCTGGTTCTCTTTGAGTTTCACTTACACACTTTGATGTCATGTGGAGCGTAGCTGCTTTCCAAGGCTATTACCACAATGAAGTTTTGCCATGCTAGCTGCAGGCAACTCTGAGCAGTCTCTTCTGACACAAATTTCTCCCAGTTTTTGGTGCTGACATTTGTTTTTGTTCACGTACCTGCTGAACACCGAGTCTCTTCCCTTTTCTTGTGCCTTCAGGGTTGTGCTGGCCTGGCTCCCACTTAGGGCAGGGCAAAGGGCTAAGCACATTCCCCAACTTCAGTGTCCCACTGTGGTGCCCATCAGCCTCAGCCTCTGGGGAGTGTTTCCTTCTTCCCTTTCTCCGGAGCTGATGTCACCACTCTGCTGTCCATAAACACTGAAGTGAGCCGTCCCTGTTGCTGCAAATAGAGCAGAACATGTATCATCTTTCTCTGTTGGCCTGGATGCTTTTCCGTAGTGATTACTTTCTTGCTTTTGGCTGCGAAAGATAAACTGCAGCTGATGGGAGCTTATTGCACCTGCCAATGTGCTGCAACAGTCTTCATCTGCAACAGGAAGCGCAGCATGGGTGTGCTGGCTTGTTACAGAGCTGTGTTCTGTGACCTCATGCTGCGTGGCTGTGCTGCTGCCCTATTCACAGGACAGGTAAACTGAGATGTGCCCAGGCATCTCAATGCTGGGATGCCCTGGAGCTGCATGGGCTTGCTGTGTCCGTAGCATAGTTGTTGATTTATTGACCTTGTTCTTCATCAGCAGGCAAGTTTTAAATATTCTTCTAGCAAGTAATAGCTGCAGTTATGTCTGTAGGCATCAGTGCTCGTGCTGATGCATTAACGCCGTTCAGGCTGTTTGATAGTAGGAAGCTTGCCTTGCTTTCCAGGGAGCCACCTCCTGCCCCTGCTTTAGGTGTGTGATGTGTGGCAGCAGCAGTGGGGCTCAGCTGCAGTCTCACAGGAGCTTTGCAGCACTCGTTACCTGGCAACAGCACGTGGGATTTCAGTCTTTCAGCATGAATATTTCCTAGACAGGTGGCTTTGACTTCTGTGCAATTGCATGTAGGCACTGGTAGAGTGAGCTTGCTCTCCTGTGAGGATGGTCAGCTATTCAGGGGACATGGAGGCCGCCAGGCACCTTGCCCTTGGCCAAAGGTATGAAGGCAGGACACGTGCACCCCTCAAAGCAGAAGTGAAGCTCTGAATAAGTGGTTGCTTTGTCCTAAACTTGAGTGCTGTGAGCTTCCATGTGCTGAGTAAACCAAGGGACAGCTGTGGGAATCCCATAGGCACAGCTGCGTGGTTTTGTAGCTCAGTTGCTTGAACAGATCTGGACTTTGAGGTCACATCTTAGAGAATGGTTTGGGAAAGCATTACTGCCAGCCAAGCCCAAGTGCTGTATGTGCTGCTGTATGTACTTCTGGACTGCAGAGATCTCTGAAGAGTGAAAACGCACTGGATTTTGAAACAACATATCAAGAACCCTTTGGCATGGAATGTAAATATGAGATTCAGTAAATCTGAATTGTTGTCTTAGCCTTTCTGATCCAAGAATGTTACTTCCTTGAGCCTCATAAACTCCTCATTCCCATTTATTGGTCTCTGGTCTGCTGGGATTCCTCACGTA